TTATTGACGTCCGTAAAGCCTATAAGTGAGTGGAAAGAGGGATTATACCGCATTGAAGCGGAATCTAGGGATTCTGGTGATGAACTCTGTAGCCCGGTGGCAGAGAGAGAGAGAGAGAGAGAGAGAGAGAGAGAGAGATAGAGAGAGAAATATAGATAGAGAGAGAAGCCGTATGACAGAAAATTGAGGCTGATGCGGTTCGTGCGGAGTATTGGAGTGGAATCCCGAGGAAAAGGGCTTCTATGGCTATGACTCGAAGTTCAGGGGGTATATGATTTGCATAAACTTGTGAATTCCCAAATGATCTTTGCTAGTTGGTCTAGGGCTTTCCGGTTCCTCAAAGAATCTCTGCTAACCTGCCCTTCCGAGGCGTGGGCATTAGAATTACTCAAGGAACTTATGCTGATCTGCCGTCGTCAAGGCCCTCTCGTTCCTAAAGGACCCCTGCTAGCTTAGCTTTCAGGTTTTAAAGGGATTGTAACCGTAAGGAAGTCAAGATTTAACGTGTAACGCTTGAAAATCTGGTGTGACGCTTCCTTTAGAAGTCGAAATAACATTTTTTGGACGGTTTGAATCCAAAAACCAGCCTGAATTCGATGACGCTTCATTCTGAGAAGTTCTACAAAAAAATTCCGATCAGCTCCATTTCCCGAACACCTCAAGCTCATTGGCTAAAGGAATCGTAACATCCTAAAGCGTGCTCAATTCCTGAGGATACTCGCCCAATTTCTGCCCTCTCTCTCTCTCTCTCTCTCTCTCTCTCTCTCTCTCGTGCTCTCCCCTCTCCGGCCCGGAGGGTGACGCAGTTGTTGACCAAAAATTCAGAGCCTCCCCGTTTGGCCGGCAGGGCCGCTGAAAAACGGCACGTGATAGGAGAGGGAGAGAGTAGGGGAGCACGAGAGGGAGCAGAGGAGTCAGGCGAGAGAGCGAGCAAGAAGAGAGAGGAGAGAATGGGGATATCGCAGAGAGAATAGATGGCTAGCAAGGCCACGCCCCCCGGGAACACCCACCGACTAAGGAGAGAGACCGAGAGAGACAGACAGACGCACACACACACATAGAAACACACATCGGCAACTCGCGGGGAGGTCCGACTCCCGGAGCGCCCCCCCGAATTCTGAATCGATACGGCTAAACTGGGACTACAGAAGACTACAGGCTACAAGCTACAAAATAAGATTCTAAGCTTCAAGACGGCAAGCTACAACTTCCGAGCCGATTTTAAAGCCGTTATTGGGCTTTCTGGGCTACGGTAGCCTTGCGGAATTCCCATATTTTTGCTAGAAAGCGCCCTGGCCACCGTATTCCCGGGTTAATTCTGGCGCTCCCGGTTTTTTGCTGAGCTGGAGCCGGCTGTGGACTACAAGATGATGCTCTCCTCGCTGCCGCACCCCGGCTTTTTTGGGTAGATTTTTGTGGAATTTGGAGTTGGGATTTAGGAAGCCGAAAATTCTAAATTTTACAGTATTCCTGGAAGTAGAAAATACACGGATTTTAAGCTTCATAGTATCGTAAAAGGTTTAGAATGGCCGATTTTTTATGGATTTTGGCTTATCAAACCCTTTAAAACGGTCCAAAGCGCTGTAAAAAATATTTTAAAGCGTACTGAAGGTGTTTTAAAAAGTATTTGTTTTCGCTTCGAAGACCTTTATAATGCCTTTAAAATCCGGAATTTTTACATTCGGCCAATTCTGAGTTCGGGAGACCCCCCCATGATGTCTGCTAACCAATTCGAACCCGATTTTTTTATGAATCTCGCTCTATGAATCTCTTCTATGAATCTCTCACTCCCACTCTATCTCTCTCTCTCTCTCTCTCTCTCTCTCTCTCTATCTCACTCGCTCGCTCTCTCGCCCCACCCCAGGTTCTGTTAGCACAAGCGGTTAATTTGCCGAGAGGCCCGCACGCGGCTGGCTGGCCGAAAATTGTCGGTGTATTTGGGGAGTTTAGAGAGCGAAAAGAGGAAAAGTTAGAAACACGGGCTGTCGATTGGAGTGCCAAGTTCATTGAGGTCAACCTTGCTGGTTCTCTCTCGCTCTCTCTCACCCTCTCACACTCTCTCTCTGGCCTGGACACACGTGTTTTTCGCCCGTTTTCTTGAGTACTACGCCGGTATACACCTACTTTCGCAAGGAGTACGTGCCAAAACTTGTGACGCTTTGAGGACCATGACCGGAAATGATTGAAATTAAACATTTGAATGATCTTTGATGGCTAACAAAGCCAACTACTATTTTTTAAACACCTTCTTGGGTATTTTAGCGCCAATTTAAGCCTAAAAAAATCCTGAAAACGTCTAAAAGCTATTTTTGGTATATTTAAACCCAGAAATTACTTTTTCGACTAAAAGCTCTTCCCAAGCGCTTTCTCATCAAAAACCAAAACCAAAAATCCTGCAAAGACTACACAATATTCCCTAATTACGTGGCTTTCTCGGGGGGTTTTCCCCCTCGGTCTGGACCCACCGGAAAATTGAGGGCTTTTTGCTGCCGCTGGCCAAGACGTCCCTCGCTGAGCGCGGCGTCGGAAGGGAGCGCTAGAAAAAATAAATTGCACCCATCTATATTTTTTTGGTTCGACGTTCTGCAGCTGCAAAACAGGGTCTAGGGCACATTTTAGAACGGGCCAGACCGGGGCCGGAAGTAGCGAATTTTTGGAATTTATACGATACGTGATAAACATTAGACGACCTATACTTTTCGATAGCGAGGGAGAAAGAGAAAGAGAGAGTGAGAGAGAGAGCGAGAGAGAGAGAGCCAGCGATAGAACGTAAAAAAAGAACGGAAAGGTCAATAAGTGTGGAAAGTCTGTTGTCCGGCCAGGCTGACCTTGGGGGTTGAAAAACAAAGATCAGGGCAGTGGCGCGTCTTTTGCAGCCTCGTGAAATGATATTTATCTATAGCTCTGTTAGGGTGAGATACCTGCGAATACCCTATGGTCAACAACCATTGAAGAGTGCTGTTTTTCGAAGCGCAGATTGTGTGAGAGAGAGAGAGAGCGACAGAAAGAGCCAGAAGGAGCTAGATATCCTAATGCTCATTTTTAACGTTTTTCCTGATATTTCCAAGTTTTCGGGTCCCAATCTCGAGCTCCTGACACCTCTAGGGTTTCCCCTGGGGGGGCCCAGAGACCATAGATGAAACCCCCAAAAAAAACCCTAAAAAGAAACTGGCGTTTTGGTTCTCTGTTCTCCACGAAATTTCCTCTTTTCTCCCCTCTTTTTGCCATTTTGTGTCCACCCAGACGACGCGAAAAGGCCCAGGGCGAATTCTAGAGTTTCAGGGCTCGCATGTCACCCCCACCACCAGGGTCCCGAAACGAAACGAAAAAAAAATTGTGTGCATTTCTGAAATTTGTGGTCGATGAGGAGAGATAAAGAGAGAGAGAGAGAGGGAGAGCGTGAGATGGAGACATTCTACGACATGACCCTGAAACCTCGCGATTAATGCCTTGATTTTTGCGTCTGCTATGGTTTATTTCTCTCCCTCTCCTCTCTCACTCTTGCTCTCTCTCTCTCTCTCTCTCTCTCTCTCTCTCTCTCTCTTCCGCTCGCGCTTGGCACTCGATATTTATACGTTTTTATGCCCCTTCCTGAAATTTTTTTGGCTAACAATCGAACCCTGGGAGCACGAGGTAGGGCATCTTTTAGATTCCCTTATCTAAACTGGATCTTCTGTCTACTTCCTTGTGTGTGTCTCTCGCTCTTTCTCCCTCCCTCTCTCTCTTTCTCTCCGGCCGATTTTTGGGCGAGCAAATTAAATTCGGGGCCGACGGTGCCGCACTCCCTTTTTCTTGGGCTTCTTCTCCTCCTTCTCCTGCCCGAGCTCAGCCGTCCAGAGCGGCGCCTTCCGGAAATGTAAACCGAATACCCACACTTCCCCCGAAAAGGCAAAAGCTCAAGGAGAGCAGGAAAGGCTGAGGGCAAACGCAGCAAAAACCAACCAAAGGTGTGAAAAATTCGAAAGGGTAAAGCCGGGGGGGGGGGGACTTTTGAGTTTTTGGGCTGGTTTGGAGGCAAAGATCGGAGATTTTGTGGAAAGTAGTGTAACGGAATCGAGCGAACTATCGAAACACCGTTTAGTAATCTTAAATACTGATAGCAAAACCTGGAAATAATTTGAATTTGTGGTCTGTGGCTTGGCCTAGCCGGCTGCATGGCATTAATGCTGCCAAGAAAAATGAGGCCATCGCAGAGATTTTGGTCTTTTTCGATTCACGCGTTATTTTTGTTATGTCATTCATTAAATTATTTGGCATTCGAGTTCGAATTTATTTCGAGTTTTCCATGTTTAAAGGCTTTTTGGATAGATTTTTAACCGCCGAAAATTCAAGTAAATTTAATTTAGCATTGAAGTTTTGGTATTTTTAAGGCGAATAAGCCGCTTTTTTAATGCGTATTCCAACGATCAAATTTTCTAGATATTCTGGTGTTTTTAATTACATTGTGTATGCAATTCCGTCTACTCCTCCAAAAAAATCATATTCTCTTCCATAATTAGGATGCGGTCTACCTCGCGTGCAATTAGTGTGCTGTCGTACTGCTGCGCCGTATAAACAAGTTTTTTTGGAATCTCGTGCTCCTGAAGAATCTCTAGGGTCCACTGAAGCAGAAAAACAATACTAGGAAATACCTAAAATCAGATTTTTTAGGTAATTCAGATTTTTCTAGTGCTTTCTGATCATTTAGCTCTAATTTTGAGCACGAGTTTTGGGTCTCGGGCGGGTCGGGAAGCCATAGAAAAATTAGAAAAAAGGAATGGGCATGGGGAAATGATTGAAAAACAGAAATGGTGAAAAGTTTGTGATCGAAAATCTCGGAAAAATAGGTGGTGGTTTTCTAGTGTTTTGGTGGGATCAGAAAACTTTCAAGAATCCGAGATCCGGCCTTAATTCTAGCGTAGAGTTCAATTTACAGGGCTTCGACTAACGTAAATTTTTTTGTATATATTTAGTAAGAGCGAATTTATTTAATTTGCTATATTCATCCTCTATTTTTCAGGATGAACGGCGTGGGGCCGGGGTCAACATCGGGGCTACCGGCTCAACTACCCGGCGTATCTCTCCTCTCCGCCGGCTCACACCTCGTCACCGGAGCCTCGACTGCGCTCAATGGTTCTGGAAGCGGAAGCGGACAATCCAACAAATTCTCCTCCGTCTACAAGCGGATGGCGCAACGTAAGTAACTTTTTTATGCTATTTTTCGAGCGTTTTAGGAACTTTTCGGAATTTCTGGCGGTTTTGGGGGCCATGATCATGATTTTTCAACCGTTTCGGCTTTCCAAATGTTGACCAAATTTTTAATGCATTTTAAATGTACAAAGCAGTTTATTTACAGGTTTAAGAATTTACAATCAGCCAAAAAATCCAAAATTTAGAATTTCATCGAAATAATTCAAAATTTCGGGAGTTTCAAGCACCTTTACGGGATTTACAAAGTGTTCTAGACGGTTTTTAGTAATTTGTAGTTCATAACATCAATATCTTTAAATACAATGTTTTTATTGCGCAAAAACGGTCCAAAATCCGTTCAAAAACCTAAATTTACGCCAAAATGTGCTTTATTCGGTTTCGCCGAGATTTTGCAATTTATTAAATTGAATTTAAGACCTGAATTTTGGAAATCGAAGCTACGTGCAAAGTGCAAGACTGTACAATTTGCTGTACTTTGTAGTTTAACCGGATTAATGTAACTTTTTTTAGGACGAAAAGTGCCCGAGGGGGAGCTTTGTGCGGTGTGCTCCGACCTCGCCACCGGGTATCACTACGGCGTCGCTAGCTGTAATGGATGGTTGGTCTTTAAAATTTTATAGTTTCTATTTTTTTACTGTTTCTCAGTTTATTCTCTTTTTCTGCCCAAAAGTGATGTTCGTCCATTTGCCCTCCTCTGAGGCTCGAGTCCAATGGGTCCAAATGGCCTCCCTCCGTCCCGTGAGCCCGCCGGGGCTTCCCCCGTTTTCCAGCTCCCTTTTTTTGGCCTTTTAGGGCCTTTTTCGGCTTTTCCCTGGCTCTCTAGTGCTTCTAAATTCTCCCAATACCTCGCGCTCCACTTGCGCAATCGTCGCGGGACCCCCGGGGGGTTGAGGGAGCGGAAAACGGGGGCCACTTCCCACCCACCTCCTCGGCATGTTAGGGTAGGGCCCACCAAAAAATGGCCCCGGCAAAAAGTGGGGACCGAAAAGTTGGCATAGAGAAGCGGAGCAACAAGCTTTTAGCGAATTTTTTGGGCTAAAAAGTTCTGGAAGGTGCCAGAAACGAATGCACTAGGTCTCGACAGCGGAGACAAACGATAAAATGCGGAAATCAAGTGCTTCCCATGCTAGAAAAATTCTCATAGAGCAAGCTTGTTAAGAAACGGACGCTTTTTCGGCGTTTTAAAGGGGCTGACAAGTGTCAAAGTCAACCCCAAAGGTTGAATAGGTCTCGACAGCTACGTGAAGCAACAAATGCCAAAGTTTAAACTTGAATTTCATGCCGTTATCTGAGCCAGGAGGCACGGAAATCGACCCTTCCATTGGCTAGGTCTCGACAACGCAACGCCTTTTAGCGCGTTCGGATTTTTGCCAGAGCGCCATTTGCCGACGCCCAGTCAAACCTAAGGCTCGATTCTTGCGCTTTTTTCCCCTTAAAGGAAATTTCTCATTACGAAAAAAATTTGAAATCGTTCCTTTCCGTAGACTGGGTGTCGACAGCTACAACTACTCAAAAAGACCTAGGCCTGCGGATTTTTAACTCTCGAGAGCCATCTAATGTCGAGACCTAGTCGCCGAAAAAGTGGATTTTGTCAACTTACCCCTTTGAAACACCCAGACTACAAATTACCAACTAGGAAGGTCTATTTTTAGTCTGTTGCCGCCCTCCTCAGGCTCAAACCTTCAAAAAGTTTCACATCTCTTTTTCCAGAAGCTCTTCAAAAATTCCGCCTGGAGCACCAACTCAGCCTAGAAAAGAATAGCCTCAGGGCCCAAGTTGAAAAGCCAGAGCTTTTCTTGAGCTTTTTCTTTAGCTCGAGAGGACAATGGCAGTGCTTTTTATGGGCCTTTTTGAAAGGCAGGGAGCGACTTTTTGAGCACAAAACTAACACACAAAAATAGAAGATGAGAAAACTAGCTTGAAAATCGTAGAGAAATACTGTAGGATCCAGGAAAATCAACTAATCGTATTTTTTTCAGCAAAACTTTCTTCCGGCGGACGATCGTCAGCGAGCAAACGTTCATCTGCCAATACGAGGGGAAATGTGACGTTAATAAAAGTCAGTTTTGTATTTTAAAATATATTTTTTTCAGTTTTTAAGCAGTATATACATGCTTTTAAATGATAATGAAAGCTTAGAGCTTACACTTCTAGCCAAAAAATGGTAAATAACTTTTGTTTTTCAGATATTCGATGCGCCTGCCGGCACTGTCGATTTAACAAATGTTTATCGGTGGGCATGGATGCAAAAGGTCAGTTTTTCGAAAAATTCCTAAATGATTAAATTACTCCTCAGCGGTTAGCTCTCTGAAAAAAAGCTAAATTTCGAATTTTCATTATTACGGCCAAACCTGTTTTGATTTATCTAACACTTTGAATCCGGGTGTCAATCAAGGGAACGCCCACGGCACGGATCGCCACGAAATTTCAAAAGCACGAAAGCTTCAATTTTTGTTTTCAAAAACTTTTTAAAGTTTGTAACATGGCGATCCGTGCCCCGGGGCGTAACAACACGTACAGCACTTTCCCCTGTACACCCCGGCTGTTTAGCGATCCAAAATGGCTCTTCTTCAGCCATCCAAAACGATCGCGATCGGATCGGACCGACGAAAAAGGGCAAAATGGGCAGCTCGGGCAGTGATTCGGATAATGCTGTCACGCCGGTCAGGAATGGTGATCAGGTAAGGGAGCGATAGTTTTTGAGGGGTAGATAGGAGCATAACGTGGTCGATTAAAGGTATTGGCAAGTGAAGATTTGCGAGACCGAGAGAGCAAGAGACGGAGAGAGGAGAAATAGGGAGAGGGAGAGAAAGAGCGAGAGAGACAGAGAGAGAGGGAGAGAGAGAGAGAGATATTTCTAGCGGTTTCTCGCAATTTTTTCGATTTTTATCACTTGCCGATATGTTTAACAGAGAAACGGAGCAGGAAGATGGTTTTTTTTCTATCTTTCGGGCAAGGCAAACTAGCAGAGATCATTGTGGAAATTCTGAATTCGTAGGAAATCAGCTTCTTCCTGCTCCTTCCGGCTACTATAGACGCCTCGGCTGGCTTGGGTTAACGGCTTCTAAAATTATTTGGCTTGGCAGAATCTGATGCAGAATTTCCAGAAAAGATAACGGTACTTTAAAGGGACTATGAAGGCAAAAATCCATAGCTCAAGAAAATACAGTAGCCCTAAAAAATAAAAACAACTGAATTTATGGCTTTTAAAATCAGAAACTAGAAATTTTACAAGTTGACTAGCCTTACTGTAGTTTTATTCTTAAGGAAAAACACTGAATTTTGCCTTCCCGGGCCCTTTAAAGTACCGTAACCTCCTGGTAAATTTGAATTTTTTCTGCCCTCTCTCACCCATTCTTATCTCTCGCTTTCTCTCGCTCTCTCTCATCCCCCACGCACCTTTTTTGTGGTTGACGAGACACCTTTTCTATTCTGTCCAAAATAAAAACTATCAAAATACTCCTATTGAGCTACCGTACCCCCTATCTCCAATTTTTTAGGCGTTCTTCGAGAGTCTGCTGGGGGCCTCCGTCAGTTCTTGTGCCCCGCTCAAGGTACCGTACTCTACCCCTGTTTTTCTTGTATTTTTTGGACGTTTTTGGATTTTTCCCGGCCTTGAAAAACGCACGATTTATCCCTGAATAATTTTTCTGAATTTTTTGCGGTTAAAAATATGTTAAAAGCAACCGTACCCTACCCCTCGTGAACCCCCTGCACCTGAGTTTTTATGCAAATTAGAGTTACCAACGTTGGGGAAAGTTAAGATTTGCATAAAAATCCGCCATTTTTTATTCGGCACCTTGTGTGTGGATGCGTATATTTTCCTATCACCTAGCACTTTGAAAAAATCTGAAAACTGGCATTTGAATTTTCGGAGGTCTCTAGCTTCTCCTAGCTGGATTTATGCAATTTTATCGTAGCATAGGCTATTTTAATAAATCTATGCCTTTATTTACAAAATTTATGAAATTTATTGAAATTTATGACCTTCTAAAGATCCTTTTTTCAACGTTGCTATTGATTTTACTTGACTTCTTCTACTCATGCTTATCGCTTGATAGAAAAGCTTAACTGCGACACAGTACTAATTCCATTCCAGTAACCTAAAACTAGAAAATTAAACGTTAAAGTTTGCCATGAATTCCCACCACCTAACCTTGAATTCAACCCCCGCGAGTCCGTTGCTCTTTACGCCTAAGTTCAAAAATTTTGTTTCAGGAAATCGTCGAGAACCTTACCCACGTAGAAGGTCTCTGCAAAGAGCTTCGCCACTGCGTACTCCCCGATGTCAACGGTGTCAACCAGGCATTAATGCATGATTGTATGCTCTTTCGGACAAAGGACCTCAAGCATGACGTGAGTTGCAATTTAGACATTGTATTACGATCAAAACTAAGCATGAACTGAATACTGCAAAATCGGTTGAAAAACACTAAAAGATTAGCATGTCATCAATGCGCTGTAGATTACTGATTTTTAAAGGGACGCGGAAGGCAAAAAGATATTTTTTGCTCACATTCCCATGGTTTTTCGACGCGCGGGATACGCAAAGCGCAAGTTTCTGGAACGGCTGCTCTGGTGTCTCTCTCTCTCTCTTTCTCTCTCTCGCTCTCTCTCTCATCCGATCTCTCTCTCTCGCTCACTCTCTGTCTCTCTCTATCTATCTATCTCTTCCTCTTCCTCTTTCTCTCGTGCTCTCTCGCCCGATGAAGCCGTTTTAAAGGCAGCGTGACAGCAAGAAATCACAGGAAAACATCACGTAATCATTCAAGCTTCTCTGCGAATTTCCCCCCCCTTCCAAACTCAAAAACACAAAGCAGCAGAAGTGTTGTCATTTTTTTGAAACACCCAGACCTCGCCGTTCGCGTCTTTTTTGCCCGTTTCGCACAATTTGTTGAAAGGGGGGCCATTGGGTGTGGGGTGGACACGTGTCTCCCAAAGTGTCTATTTACTCGCTGTCTCTCTCACTCCCTCTCTCTCTCTCTCTCTCGCTCTCTCTGTTTCTCTCTGCACTACTCTCTCGTCACTGTTCTTCGATCGCTAGGGGACCACCACCCACACAACCACAGAGCAGAGGGGGTTCCCCGAAATCGTTGCGTTCAAAAATGAGTGCTGGTGTTTTGGGGAGCGACTGGGTTTTAAAGGGACTTGGATAAACCCCATGGGGATGGAGTGAAATTAGTTTTAAAGGGTCTGAGAACCCAAATTTTTGGGAGTGTTGAGGCGAAAAACAAGTTTTGAAGGGACGGGCAGGAAAAACCTGTAGGGATTTAAGGTTGTGAATGATATTAAAAGGATTGATAGATCAAATAATTGGGCGTCTGAGGTGAACACCGTGTTTTAGGGGGACCGGCAAGCGATATTTCGGGGTATTTGTGGTGACAAACTGGTCTTAACGGGACCGGGAAGCCAAATATTTTGCCCATTTCGGAGTCTTGTCATTTTTCCGGAAATTAAACGATTTAACGGGACTATGAAGCGACAATGGTAATTCGATCTCTTGGAAGCATGCCAAAACCTCAACAAAATCCGATTTATACCGTATTTTTATTTTACCCGGCTTCACAGGCCCTTTAACACAAAACGCACACCATCTATGATATCGTCTAAAATACGCAGTTTCGACATTTTTTTTGCGCGCTGCTCTGGCCAGTGACCGAATTGAATGAAACTCGAGCCCCTGGCCCGGTCTGGTCGTCGACTCCAAATTGAAATGTAACATGGGGTGGGGGAGGGCTCGAATTTCCTCTGTAATGGACAAAACAAAGAATGGGTGTCTGGGTTTAAAAATAAAAAATCGTTGATGCGTTCAAAATACGGGTATCTGTAGAGAGAGAGAGAGAGAGAGAGAGAGAGAGAGAGAGAGATAGAGAAAGCGAGAGAGACAGAGCAAGCTAGAGAAAGCGAGTTAGTGGGTTGAGAGATAGAGAGAAAAAGCTAGAGATAGCGAGAGAGAAGGAGCAAAACCATAAAACCCAATTTTTTTCAGCCGACCACCGTCTTCAAGGAGTTCTACCCAGCCTCGATGAACGACGTGCGGATGTGGAACATTCGGGAGATGCGCATCTGCATCGAGTGGGGCAAGACGTTCGAGGCGTTCACGAGATTGTCGATTAACGATCAGGTATAAAAATTTTGTAATTTTAAAACGTATTTTCCTAGTTTTATTGGCCTTAAATCTGCGTTTTTCAGTTTTTAATTTTAATCTAATACCTAAGTAATCATTTTAAATATATTTTTAGCTGTCTCTCGTTCGAAACTTTGCCTTCACCTTCAACCTGCTGAATCGAGTATTCTACTCCCCGGACCACGGTCCCGACAAGATTGTCTACCAAAATGGAGCGTTCATCTTGAGAGAACCCCAGCAACAGGTACAGTATTTTTTGAGTTTTACGTATTTGTAGTGCCGAGTAATTTACGAATATCATCTACCACGCTTTTCAGGTGCAACTGTCCGGTTGTCGGCTGATCTATCCCCGGCAAATGGACGAGATCATGATCCCGTTCCGGAAGTTGAACATCACCGAGGCGGAATTTGCCACGTTTAAGGCAGCGTTCTTCTTTAATCCAGGTGAGAGAGATAGCGAGAGAGAGAGAGAGCGAGAGAGAGAAAAAGTGAGAGAGATAGCGAGAGCGAACCAAAGCGAGGCTTAAAAAAAATTTTCCAGACGCCCTCGACCTCTCCCAAAAAGCGAAAGAAGAAGTGGCCGACGAGCGGAACAAGTACCTCTCCGCCCTCTTCACCCTCATCACCAACAAGCTCGGCATCCCGTTGGGTGTCCAAAAGTACGGCTCGCTACTCATGATGACGGCCAGTATACAGGTGTGTTTCGTACTCAGATTTCTAGTTAACTGGATTTTTCAGAATATCATCGCCCAAAACGAGGAGAACATGCAGGTGATGGAGCTGTTCAAGAACTGGGAGGTCGACCCGTTCGTGAAAGTGGGTTTTTTGGCGGTTTTTGACAGATTTAGGCTAGATTTTGCCTTCTAGGTCCCTTGGAAAGCGTTTTTGAGGCCACAAATCAAGTTAATTTATGAGTTTATGGGTTTTTTGCCTTCTAAATTCCTTTAAAATGCCTGTTGGGACAGTTTTAATGGCGTAATCATATAACCCGATTCAGGAGCTCTGTATGAAAAGAGCTTGACGGTACGCGGATGAGCCATCTGCACGGGAACTCGCCGAGAACGACGAGAACTTCTTCTGCGCCTATCTTGGTTGATAGCGCGCGTCACGACGCGGCAGCGCTGATCGCCACGGTAGGTTTAAATGATATTTAAAAAGCCTTAAAGCGTAGATTTTTTTTCCATTCTAGATATTAGAATTTTATAGCTGAAAAATCAGATTAAAATTAATTATCGATCCGTGATGTTCTAAAGGAAGCCCAAATTCCAATAATTTTAAAATTAAAATTCCAATTCCCGAATGATCACAACATTAAATTCCACTGCACAACTGATTACGGCGTTAATGCCTACCGCTCAACTGATCACAGCATTAAATTTTATCCCAAAACCGATTACGACTCGAAATTATAGGTTCCAGAAAAGAGTCGAACTAGGCCAAAAATTTGTGTTCTGAAAAATACAGGCGAAAACGCGAGCAAAACCGATTACGACATAACATTAGGCGCTGTAATTAGGTATTCGAGCGGAACTTTCAATCGTCAACAAATTCTAACTGGAAAAAGCGTTAAGAAGTTGGCTCCATGATCGAGGAAATTTAGGAATTTTTTATAGCTAATCGATTACGAGGTCGAAAAGAGCTTTTTGATTTTCATAATTCCTTTAAAACAAAAATTTTCTAAAATCGAACAAATGGCAATTATAAAATTATATATAGTTATTAATAAAACAGCATAAAATGTATCTAAATACTTAAATTATAGATCAATCTGCGCGCGGCGAGAGAAGAATGTTCAAATTGTTCTACCACCCAGCGAGTTCCCCTGAAGACGACACCCAGCCGATCCACATTTCCTCAACTCCCGCCCCTGCTATTTTTTTTTGCGAGGAAATGTGTGCGGAATGGCCATCCACCACCAACAATCCCCTCTTTTTTACTGATTATTACGCCCCGTCATTTGTAGTACAAAGTAGCATTTCGTTTTTGCAAAACATGAGATTCAGTTTCCAGTTTTCAAAGTTAATTTTACTCTTTTTTAACGCCCAAAATTCCCAGATATCTATCACGTTGTTACAAAAATTCTATACTCCTCAAAAACCCCCCGATTCGGCAGCGAAACAACTCGAAAACCCCCATTGATTCGCCCCCAGTTAGTCAACATCAGTTTAGCGAATTTTTGTCGGTTCTTTTGCATTATCGGGGGACGAACTTTTTTCTAAGGATCCAGAAATGCTAGTAAAACAATAGAGATTTTTAATCGTGTTTTTAGTGAAATTTAACTACAATTTAAGTGGAAAAACCAATAAAAAGCTTAGAAAAACTTTTTGAGATATTTTTCGTCGAAAAATCGATTATTTGTATTTTTTTAATCAGGTTTTTACGTATAGGGATAGTGAAAAACAGTTTAGAAATACTTGTTCTAGTTATATCGGAAAATTAGATCCTTAGGAAAAATAGGTCCCCTGATAATGCAAAAGAACCGAAATTTCATTATACACCTTTATTGTTGCCACTTTTTGCAAGAAAACACGAAATCTCCGGTAATTTTTATGTATCCACCGATTCTCTACGATTTTTCGGTCCTGTTTTCACGCCGAAAATCGCCTTTTTAACGTTATTTATCCTATGCTAGGAATTCTATATCTATATGGTAACCAGTCGACTAGTCTTCTCGTAATAATGTGATCCACCACCGCCCCCTTTTATTTGACCCTAAAAGCCAAATATGCTGTATACAAAAACACAATGGGGATCGGGTCCCGCGACCCAACATTCATCTCAAAATTTCAAATTTTTTTCCTTGTGCGTGACCCCCCCCCCGCCCTCCTCCTCCTACCCCGTTACAATGTCCATTGAAAAGAAAATCAGGTGATTTTTGTGTGAATAAACTTATATGGGAAACGTTGACGCTATAAAACCACGAAAAATTTGCCAAAACACCCCGCATTCAAAATATTTGCTAAGAATACAGCTATCTAGAAAAGTCAAAAGCTACAGGAACTTCAATTATACAGGGTGTCCCAAAAAAACCCCCCCGGCATTGTGGCCTTCTCGGGGCCCAAATTTTTACCAGAGAACTTCAATTATATATTAAATGGATACATTAAAAGTCAAGAAAATGGCCAAAACTCCTAAAAAATACTTTAAAATTGAATAAAAATAAATTTACAGCCCTCGTTGGTAGTACGAAGCGCTACTATCCCCGCCTTTACCCTGCGCCCTACCGGCATTTCATCACCGCCCAGGGGAAATTGTTCGAAAATTGAGAAAAACAACGGAGTTTTGCTGAAAAATATTCGAAAACAAAAATTATCGAACTTCCAATTTAGTGAAAATGATAAATTTCGCTTGCGTTTTCCTTGTTCTGATACTGCTTCCTAAAAGATTTGGACGAATGGGCCAAAACGACACGCAATTCCGGCCCTCAGATTTGCCTGCGGGCCGTTGAAAGTGATTCGAGCGTTAAGAAATATTAGTGTTTTCTTATTAGTGTTATTAATTAGGAATTCTCGATAGTATTAGAATCCTGGCTATTCAAGATGTCGCACGGCTCGCGTGGAGCGATTTGCGCGTTCATTTTGGGGTAGTAATAAAAATCAAGTTAAACTCTCTGCTAAATACTAATTAAGGCATTCAGAGCATACGTTGTACATAGAAAGAGGTTTCTTAGGTTCTAAATCCGTATAAATAATGCGTTAAAAGGGTGAGAACCATACGACATTTGCTAACTACCAACCATCCGCTACCTTTTCATCGATATAAACGATTCGTTTCTCTTATATGAATCTCTGAAAGTCGTTATCTGAGCTTGTCGGCGCGTTTCGCCACCTGAACATTATTTAACCTGCTGCTTTTCATTCAGCTCAACGTTTTCACCTTACTCTAATCCTAAGCACTTTCAGTCCTCCAGCGAACGGTTCCCCTCTTCACTTCCGATGGCGACAAGCAATTGCAAGTAATTTCAGTTTGTTTTTAGAAATATTTCAGTTCAGGTACGACTGGTTCCAAACCGAAACCCACGTGACGCTGACGATCCTGAGGCGGGGCGTCGCGCTCGAAGCTTGTAAAGTTAGTATTTTTATGTTTTTCGATCTATTGCTTTTTCTAGGCATTGCTGGACCCTGAGCGCAACACGCTGACAATCACCGTGGAAGGGGACGCGATATGGGGCGGAACGCTGGCCGCGCCCGTCGATTCCAGCAAGTTTGTCGTCAAATGCACGCCGGCGAAGGTAATCTTAGCGGTCTATACAGTTTTTTGGCTAGTAAATAGCTAAATTGACTTAAAAAAATTATGAAAATTCTTGTGCTGGATCGTTATAGGGGGACCAAGCCATTTCCCTTTCCTTAGCTTATGCATTCCTGGTAATAACGACGTAATGTGTGCTAGTTTAAAAGAGTTTGGCGTTTTTATTCAGTCTTAACGAGCTCCGTATCGAGTTTTGGGTAGCTAGATTGTTATAAGACGTTTTTAAAATTTGAAAACTGTGTTTTCGAGCATTTTTTTGGCCAGCGTTTGGTATACAGATTTTTATCAAGGTTGTAGACGTCTAAGATTAGATTTTTCTGCTTACAAAAGTGAATATTTGAGGGCCCGATAAAACTCCAGCACCGGAATCCTACCTACTACATTATTGTGCATTTCTAGACTCTTAGGAAAAAGTTCAGCCCCGATTCTTCTATTTTCAGGTCGAAATCAGCATGCCCAAGACAACAACAGGCCGATGGCCAGCGCTCGTCCAAGTAGAAGATGCACCCGCCGCCAGCTCGCAAGCGCCGAAGAAGAATTGGGATGCCATTGAAAAGGTATCTTGCTAGTCTGGCGAGTATTTTTTGTTTTTTTTTCAGGAAGCTGAACGCGAAGAAGAAGAGGCAACCGGCGAGGCGGCCGTCGACAAAATGTTCAAGAACATCTACTCGAACGCGAACGATGACGTGCGAAGGGCCATGATGAAGAGCTACAGGTTCGGCTTTTTGTAGCCGTTTATCTGTTTTTTTTAGTGAATCGAACGGCACCGTCTTGTCGACAAACTGGGACGAGATCAGCAAGCAGAAGACTGAAACTAAGTAAGAAACCCTTTTTTGCTTCTTAATTCTCTTAGACCCCCGGACTCTATGGAATTCAAGAAGTGGGAATGAGACGCCATGCGGCCCCGCGACTTGCCCCAACTACCCATATTTTTGTGTGCTGTTTTTACTATATGTGATGTGTGATGCTTTTTGTGAATTGGTGCAAATAAACCTAGTGAGTGGGAAAATAGTTCGGACGAGTTTTTACGCCCTATTTTGAGGCTATGATTTTTAAAGTTTATTTTATTTCGAAGCGTGCTTTCAAGTGCTGCTGGAACGTTATCCGGGGTCTAAAAGCGTTTATTTTTAGAGCTGGCCTATTCTTGCCTAATAATAACAGGATACAGTATTTTTCTTTTATTTTTACCAGTTTGGACAGTTATGGTCTTGTAAGACTTTTTTAAATGTCTAAATTGCAGTAAACTTTCGTAGAGTGCGTCTCGTAATAGCGCATACTGTATTTTTCTTGTCTGTTTGTTGGTTTTTATAACTGCGGGATTGTGAAAGATCTTTATTAACGTTAAAATAGCGAATGATTGTTCGTTTTGCTTGAGTTTAGATATCATTTTTGAACATAACGTGATGAATTTAAATAGGTTTGATACCGATAACGGCCCAGACACGGGGTTTTTAACCTTACTTGGGGCGCGCACGAGAGGGAGACAGGGAATGGGCGAGGCCACGCCCCCTTTTCGCCCCCAAAATGTATTAGAAAATCCCTTCTAATGGCTATAACTTTTTTTCTAGAAAAAATGACAAATTCTCCGCCTGGTAATTTGTAGAGAAGACCCTCGGGAACATTTTGGTAAAAGAATCTCAGCGATCGCGAGGAAAAACAAGGATTTGAAAAGCTTTAAGCGATTATCAAGACGATGTTCTCGTTAGGGCCGCAGGTCGCCCCAGTTTCCTAATTTTCTGCCTGAGATTCGCCACAGATTTGTTGTCGGCGCTTATTTCGCTACTTTGCAAAAAAAAGCAAAACCATGTCATGATTTTACGCGAGGAGAGGAATCGAACCCTGACCCTCCGCCTGACGCCGCCTTGGCCACGCCCCCCGCACCCCCGTGCGCGGAAAAAAACCCCGTGCAGAGCCTTTCGAGTTTTTGGATTTTTTAGCTTTTCACGATTTTATGCTCTTTTTTCCAGAAGGAATAGTTCAAGATGGGCGCCACAACTTCAGCAGTCAAGGAGCAAGAGGTACCTTTTTTCAGAAAGATTTCTATATGTCATTTTAGCCGCCGCTCGCCCCGCCAGAGCTCCAGCACCTTCAGCCGCTCGCCCTGCCCGCAGCGCCTCAACAACACGTTCAGCTGTGCGCCATGACTCAAAAGGTCTGTGTTTCGTGTGGTTTTAATTTTGAGAGTTTTGCCATTGATCGTTTGGTTTTTAGCACCTGCCTGGAAAGTGGTTTTTCTTGTCGAATTTTCGACTTTTTTCACTACATACAATTTTGATTATTGCTGGTTCGCTTTCGGCAAGTGATAGATGGAGAGTTTGAACATTTCTAAATCGATTCCGACTGAAAACTTGACTTTCTAAGGAATAGCGGAAATCATGGAAATAAATTTTGCCGTCGTTTCATTGTTAATCTCTCTTTTCCAGGCTCTAAACGACTGCGTGGCGATGTGGGGAGGCCGCGAATCGTGCATGGCCCTCGTCGACGCACATCGCAAATGCCTCCGCGACAAGGAAATCAAGTAATAAAGCCACACCTCCGTACGCTTATGTATATGTTTGTCACTTGTTATTAGCGCTAGTCCCCACGATTCTGTAGATGTAATTTTTCTCTGTAGTTTTCTTGTAATTCTTTTGTATGTTTCTCGCCTGCTCACCTGTAATTACGGTTCTTGTTTGAATGTTTTTACGTGTTCACGTTGATGAATAAATCTCTTTGCTTTCGGTTTGTTTGGAAGTTTCATCACTATTGATTTTCCGAACGTAGAGAAACACACGCGCAATGTCAGCACGTCGCCCAAGGAGCAAATATTCTTAGAATTCCATAATAGGGCAAATTGTCATGCTGCGTTTTGATGTGTTGTTGTATTGCTCTCAAGAACCCGAACTTGGTTTGAAAAATTCGTCCTCGTTGTCTTTTGCCGCGCCCGCACGTTGTGTGAAAGTAGAAAACATCAGTTTTCAAATTTTCCAACTTTCCAAGAAGTTTGGAATTCCAACTGTTATACTAAAGGGCCATTTAATAATCTAAGCAAAAACTTTTCCATATTTTTTTATCAGTTTCGGAGTTTCTGACCGCGCTCTAACCGAATCCGAACCGACCTAATCTGTAGCTCCTTTCCCTTTTGGGTTGAATTCGGCTTCACACCGACGGACAGACGGATACTACAACCTCTTTATTATAGTTGTTGATTCTCTTGAAGAATTTCCGATGTCTCTCAGAATCACATCGTGACTTTTAAACACCCGAGCTTTTTGAACTGTCCCTCGAGTGGTTCGTTTTGGCTGGGGAAATAGCTACATACAAATCTGCAAAATTAGCATGCAAAAAATTATACTTGATATGGTTTACCATACACAGGGCATCGATCATCCTTTTTCGGGTCCACCGTCATACAAACGGTCAGTGCTTGTTGAATATTACGTTGAGTTTTCCATTGTAGAGGGACTCCACGGCTCGGGCCTCTGGGGCATTCGCCGCCGGGCAGCTACGCGCGTCGGGGCGGAATGGTAATTTGGCTAAAATTCAGCTAGCTAGCTAACTGTATTTTAGGCTCTAGGAGATAGAGTAAAGTAGCGTTAATTTTGTAAAAATTCACTCTATGTCCATTATGCAATGGGGAATCCGATTTCGATATCAAAATCCCGCGGACCTTTCATTTTAGTTGCTAACTTGGCAGTTTTACAAACATCGCCAAAATAAACCTTCCTGAGGCCTTTCTGGCTTTCAAAAATAGCGCCATCATGTTCAGGATGGTCGAAAACGATTTTCTTGGGGTTTTTCGAATTTTTTTCTGAAGGCAGAAAGTTGCCTTCGCCGGGGCAGAAATGCGCCTAATAGGCCTTCGGGGGCAACAAAATGACTCCGCAGCAGCAACTTCGTGACTTGGCAGGAGCAAGCCCTAAGCCAATGGATGTTGCAAAAATTGCTAAATAGTGGTTTTCGACCATCCTGAACACGATGGCATTGTTTTTGAAACTTCAGTCCTGCAGGAAAAAATTGATTTTGAGAGTATATATAAAACGGCCAATTTAACAATTAAAATTAAAATTAGAGGGATTTTGATGTCTGAGTCGGATTCCCCCATTGCATAGTTGACCTCGCGTGAAATTTACACAAAATTAGAGCGAGAACGTTCGAGGTACAGACGTTTTCCCGACCTGATAGCTTTTTGACCGCTAATGTAGCCCCATCCCCCCGCCTCGCCCACCCGAATTGTGCCATTATAAACTTTTGAAAATAACGTATGTAGAATTAAAATGACCTTTGAGTCGAAGAGAGAGAATAGCGTAAAATACCGTAAAGTGCACTAGCCATTTTCAAAATCCTACAAATTTTGTCCAGAAGAGTTGCCAATCGGTTTATCGATTGAAAACGTCCCAGCGTCGGGATACATTATTGGAGTCGAAAGAATCAAATTTTGGGAACATATCGTGGAGTGAAATTTTCCCTGTGATTTGGCTGTGGCGCTCTTTACGTTTAAAAAACAATTTTGGTGTTTTAAGGACCCTTATTATTTTTGAGGAACCTTATTTATTTTAAGGACCCGATTACCAGTATTACACCTTTGTACGCCCCTGCGTCGTAGAAAAATGAGTTCTGGTTGCAGGCTCTACGGCTGTACGTGCGCACAGATCGGTGGCCATCAGCAACCTCGTCGGCAACAAAGTGCTTTTGCGTTTTAACGCCCTCTTCCTTCCAGACGCCGGCCACTCGGTAAAAACCTTGAAAGATCCCAATAAAGCTTTCTTAGTTTAATCTGGGTCAGCTCCGCCAATCGCTCGCCCACCGGCTCGGATGGATTGCCGTTGGGCCAATGACGGTCTCCACGTATCAAGACCCCGAAATCGGCCGGTCGAAGGTTGCAGTCGAAGGCAACATCAATGTTCCTGCTGCCCGCTACAGGTATCCTTTGCCGGAATTGGGAGGTCAGTTCTTCGGATCGCTGCAAAAAAAACACTTGTGAACTGAAATTGTCGGTAGACTGACCAAAAACAATGAGAAACCAAAAATGGTGTCTATGGCGCTAAAATCGAGGTGAACATCTCTATGACAAGCGCCGCAGGCAGCAATTGTTTTGGGCAAAAGTCATAGGGGTCCTCCCTTACGAACACTGATTTTCGTATTTCGCTAATTTTGCAAAGACCAATACGAAGTTTATTGGGGGCATATTGTTGTTAGCAGCCCCAAATTTTGTTTTTCAGTCCCCACGAGATCCGCGACAAGATTCTCGTCCACAAGGCGAGAATCGAAGAGGACATCCGAGCGCTGATTATGGCATTTCCCGGAAAGCCAATCGTCGAGTTTTCACCAAAAATGGCCAATGAGGTGGTTGATAACGGCTCACTTGTAATGTTCGCAATCCAGCCAATCACATCTCTCTCATCTCTCTCTCTCTCTCTCTCTCTCTCTCTCTCTCTCTCTTTCCTCCTCCGTTTACTCACTCTATGTTGCTCGTTCTGTCTTTTTAATAATTACTTCCCTTCCAAATACGCCCTTTACAGAAGATCGAGTTTCCGAAGGCCCGCGCCACCGACGCCGTCGAGGAGGCCCACCAGCAGAACCCGCCGATGATGGGCCGTCTCCGCTACGAGGTAGGGACATTGTGGAAATTCGAACTCTTGAGCTACTTTCCTTCCAAATACGCCCTTTACAGCAGAACGAGCTGCCGTCAACCGGGAAGACAGAGCAGCCCAACATCCCGGCGCCCATCGTCGCGGCCGTCAACCGGGTGCGTTAGACTCTAGCTTATAACGGATCCCGCAAAAGAGACCCCTCGAGCGGTCCGATTAAGTGTCCGGATTTTACGATCTAGTTATCTATCGAGCTCCGTACCAGCTGCGGAGATACGTCTTCTCCGATTTTCGACTTCCTGGAACTTTCCGCTTGATTTTCGGCACTGTTAATCCAAAATTACCTTTTTGCCCAAAAATTCCATGTCAACTGATTAGATGCCCTCCAAGCTATGTTTTGGCAGATAACTTTCAAAAACATGCCGTCAGGCTGGAAAATGAAGTTCAGTAATCGTGTTTTTTTTGCAAACAACATGGGGAAAACGCCGGAAATCAGTAAAAACCTTTGTAAATTCAGGAAAAATCCCGAAATTGTGAAAATCAGGATAATATACTTATCGCTCCTTCGAGCCGCTAGAGGGGTTTTTTTGCGAGCTTGGGGAGGGGTGTATCGTCTTTCAAGGCGCTAAAAATGCCGCCCACAAATCCCTAAGAGTTTTTATGGCTATTCGTTTTGATGGGGTTGAAAAGCCTTTTCGTGACTTTCCAATCCTGCCCCTGTCATAACCCATGATACTCGATGCAGAAGTATTTGATCTGAACGATAGTTACACCAAATTTGAAAATTGGAAATTTCGAAATTTGCGTCACTTTGGTCGGAAAAATGGTTTTTTTACCCAGAAATATTTTTATTTAAAATTATTTTTTGATATTAACTCGAAAACTACGGTATCCAGCGGGCTGTAAAGTCAGGCTAGGTGTGGTTTTTTTCGGAATAATACAAATCCATTCAAATTTTGGGGCCATTTAATTGAATTGAGTAAGACGGCGAAATGTCAGAGGACGTTGCTTATGGGAGGTTCAATATATCTCATTTAGTGCGGCAACTGCTCGAGGATGGCTGATGACTGCCGTTGGCTCAGGGGCGCCGGAATCCACGAGTGCCACAGTTGCCGGAATCTCAGGCAGTAAGTAGTTCAACAGAATTGAGAACCTTTGCCTTCCTAGCGTCAATTAAGGGTATGATCCGCGCTAGCTAGCTTGGTCTATGAACCTAGACAGATTGCGTTTTAGAATACCAGGTTACGGCAGCTGCTAACTAAGAGTAGGGGCAAAACCGGAAAATTTCGGGATTTTTAAAACTTTTGCTTTACAAGTTTTAATCTGCAGCTATTTAAAATGCTTTAGAAATTGTTATAATTGGCGTATAGGGCCGTACGATATCCTGGAAAAATTTGGTTTTTCCCCTGCTAAAAATGCCTCCCCCGGTTAACTGTTCATGACCACAAAGGTCTCGTAGAAGGTATGATACAATAATGTATCATTCTGAATCCCGGGTAGCAATCAAAGCAAGCATCGACCATAACGTAAATCAGTGGAGTTCCTTTTTTTTTAATATTTCATAAGTCTCTGCCCGTTGCAGGAAGAAAAAACTCGGATCAGTGGCCTGCCTGCAGACGTATGTCGGCGAGAACTACCTGGTGGAGAGGTAAGAATGTGACAGTTTCTTTCTTTGGGCTTTTTGTGGCGCAAAGAGCCAGCTTTGCAAGGAAAACTACCGTCCCTTTCCGTCTATTTTTGGAGTTTCCAGGGAGCGGCTCATCCGTGCGAACCGGCCCCTGATGAAGCGCAGGTGAAGCGCAGTTGATTGATAGTGGGTTGACTGAAAACCAGGGTTGCAAAACGCTTCGCGACTTTTTCAACACGGTTTAAACACGGCTTCCAAATGGGAACATTAAAGGCGAGGCTAGTTTTCGACATTTTCGATATTTTTACAAACATTCTTCAACGTTTCGAAAGAGCATCAAAAAATATACGAAGAGTTTTTATTGCAACTCAGAATAACGTATTATAAAAGAGTCATGGGAAAAAGAATTAGCCGCAACTTTCCCCAGCACAGTTTTTTCCCGCGACCGAAATAGAACAGTACCTTAAATTCTTTATAGCATTATTTTTTCGAGACGATCTACGTATGATACAAAAAAACTCCGTATTAGGCCATTGCGAATACTGTCGCCTGCAGCGAGCCATCGATCTGGGGCTCGTCGTCGAGAAGGAAGAGCACTCGATCGAGCTGACGAAGTCCCGCCCGACCCGAACATCAGCCATGCCCCGGTGTCGCGCTCTCGCCACAAACTCTTGGATCCGCCGCTCCGCCAATTTCATGAGAAGGTAGGGACATTGTGGAAATTCGAACTCTTGAATTACTTTCCTTCCAAATACGCCCTTTACAGCACTCGATCGAGCCGACGAAGCCGCGCCCCGACCCGACCATCAGCCACAAACTCCTGGATCGGCCGCTTCGCCAATGTCGTGAGAAGGTGGGGGACATTGTGGAAATTCGAACTCTTGATTTACTTTCCTTCCAAATACGCCCTTTACAGCAGAACCAGTTGCCCACGGCGCGCCCCAAGGACACCACCGGCCATCCCGAGCCACGCCAAATTAAACTACAGCTACCACAGCTGCCGGAACCTCAGGCAGTAAGTGGTTCAAAATAATTGAGAACCTTTGCCTTACTAGCGTCAATTAAGGGTATAATCCGCGCTAGCTAGCATGGTCTAGGAACCTAGACAGTTTGCGTTTTAGAATACCAAGTCTATCTCTTTCGCTCTCTCTCGCTCTCTCCCTCTCTCCCTCTTTCTTTCTCTCTCTGTCGTTCTAATAATTACTTTCCTTCCAAATACGCCCTTTACAGCAGAACGAGTTGCCGACGGCCCGCCCCAACGACACCATCGAGGATGCCCACCAGCAGAAGCCGCCGATGATGGGCCGTGTTCGTGACGAGCTAGGGACATTGTGGAAATTCGAACTCTTGAATTACTTTCCTTCCAAATAAGCCCTTTACAGATGCGATAAATATCCATCATTATAATATTGTCTCTCTATCTCTCTCTCTCTCCCCACTCAAAATCTCTCTCTCTCTCTCTCTCTCTCTCTCTCTCTCTCTTCAAGTTGAAGTGTAGCGTTATATGTTGAAACTTGATGACAATTTATTTTCGATAAACAGAAACACACACGCGAAATCCTAGCACGTCGTATTGTACAGTACTTGTGTGGTCCCGGAGAGCGAAAAAGCCTTAATAATTTTAATTTTTAGTATAATTTATTAATGGAGTGGGAATACAAGTGAAATACGGGTGGTGAAGCGAAGGAAATTCGAAGGGGGAAAAGGCACCGAGCGCGACGAACGAGAGAAATCTTTACAAAAATAACGATCAATGGATGAAAGAATTTTTGTGGTTTCTTTTGCTGAGCAAATCTGGGGGGTAGAATAGTAAGAAAGATTGGATATCAGGGAAATGATAAAACCCTCATGGCGAGGAACCGATTAAGCGAAGGAGGGGGATGGGGTGGAGGATTTTTAAAGGTATTTGGAAGGCGAAATTCTTCTTTTTAGGCTTTTTCTAACGTTAAATTTAGCGCTGTTTTAAATGGCGTAATTTATGGGTTAAATTTTACAAGAATTTAGCTTATTTTTAGTTTTTTTTTGGAGTTTGATGCCGAAAGTAGCTTTTCTTTTTTTAAAAAGGCAAAAGAATGCCTTTTCCGCTTTTTCTAACGCCAAATTTAAGGTTGATTTACATAGCATAATTTGTGGATTGACTTTTACAAGAATTGAGAATGTTTTTGTGCGGCATTTTTGTGTTCCATTTTCGAAAAACAAGAAAATTTGAGGCTATGCCCTAAAAAGTAGAATTTTCGTTTTTATCTAAATCTTTATTTCGCTAAATATTTTTGCTTTCACAATCCCTTTAAAAACCTCGAAAACAGGGGGCGTGGCTGAAAATGCGCAGCAAAACGCGTGTACCGTATACCCGTGGGGGCGCGTTCTGTTGGTGAGGGTCGGAAAGGGGCGGGGGGCCGGACAAATCGACATATCGACTGACATACAAAATAAAAACCAAAAAATGACAATTACGGCTGTTAGAAATTATCACAAAATTCGTTGAAAGAAAAATCGGGGGGTTTTGCGGAAAATTTATGCGGGGTTTTCTGAAAGACGCGTTTTTGAAGCTCGTAGTGGGGTTAGAAAATTCCCGTTGGGACCCAGGATTACAGTAGCTTTTTATGGTGTTTTTGAAAAGCTCAAGAATCGCTAGAATTTTCTTGACATTTTAAATTGTGAGACATTTTTGAAGTTTTTAGACGAATTTTTGGAGATTTTAGAGGTATTCAGGATCTTTAGAAGCCAAATTTTAGGTTAAAGCGTTAAAATTCATCCAAGCTACCGTAACCGGGCCCGAGGTCGTCTTATAAAGTCAATTATCTATTAATGCGCGTTCAGATGAGCCGCTCGTCCTTTGCGGCGTGGGTCATCGGAAGGGAGTAAGCGGCGGATAGGGCGTGCTCTTCTCGGGCTGGGTTGTACTTGCCGTGCAGCTTGCGCGACTGCCGCACGTAGCGCATCGTGAAGAAGGCGGCCGCGAGGAGGAGCAGGCCGATCACTGAAAAATCGAGAGTTTAAAGGGGCTCCGAAATCTGGTCCACGGCCCCCTGCTGTGATTCCTGGCAAATAGCCAGATTCGGCCGCAACGCGCCTGCGCCGCATGATCTTTTGCCTCTTTTTGGAAGCGAAAATGCTTGAATTTAAAAATTCTGATACTATTTTTGGAATCCTCAACGAATTTTGATCATTCCAGACTTTTAAATTATGAAAATTGACCAGAGAATCACCGAGATCGAGAGATTGGGTGCCTTACAAAGCATTACGACCTGTAATCGCCGCGCACTCAAAATGTCGTTTTCCCCCCAAAAAGAATTCGGTTTTTCTCAAACATTTTACTTTTTTTCGCGATCAAATAACTTTTTGGCACTTCTCGGCGGGGACCCTTTCGTTTTTTGACCCGTAGGTTCAATCCCCGCACGCACGAATTTTGACTTCTGAGCCCCTTTAAATGGCGGGTTCGTCGTGGTTTTAAAGAGGCTGGGAAGCGCCAAAATCTACCCCTGAATCGTCTAGGCCTCGCCCCTTACGCGTCATGCCCAAGAAACGATTTTAAAGAGCCTAGAAAGCGTCAAAGTCTGCCCCTCAATAGATTAGGTCTAGACACGCGCAGTTCGAAATGACGCGCGTAACGGTCGCTTGAAAGCGTCATTGGGAGTGGCGCGTAGTTGCGTACGACACGTTTATAACGATTTTAAGCATAAAAGCGCTAATGTCTCCCGCTCGAACCCCCTGGGTTTATACTACTACGCGTCGCTCCAAAGTGGCGCCTGTAAATGTACGCTTACACGCGTCAGCTGGGCCGCTAGGTAGCTGACCGCATTCGCCTGGCATAAGGGGTGGTGAATCCTGTGTTTAACACGATTTTAGAGTCTAGAAAGCGCCAAAGTCTTGACAACTACGCGCCGTTCCAAAAGCGTTGAATAGTAAAGTCTTTAGTCTTTAGTAAACTCACATGTGACGGCAATGATGGCAACGATTACACTCGCTGCGCTGCTCCTTGCCTGGTTCGCGCTGCCGGCTGGTTGGTCACCGCCGTTTGTCGTTTCTTCCACTAAAATTTTGTGACGAATTTTATGTCGTAAATTGTTTTTTTACCTGGCGCTTCGGTGTTCTTGGGCCACGCGTGCTCGTGGGTCTGGACATGGTTGCCTCGGGTCGTTACTTCGATCGGCTGCTAAAATGCCGTTATAGCCTTTGATTCTAAGTTTTTTTCTCGGTTTCTCTCTCTCCCCTCTGGTTCTCTCTCTCTCTCTCTCTCTATCTCCCTCTCTCTCTATTCTCTCCCACTCACCGTAACCTCCTCGGAGACCTCTTCCGACACGGCCTCCTCAGTGGTCGTCGTTGTCGGTGTTGTGGTGCTCACAGTTGTAGACATCGTCGTCGATCGGGTGGTCGAAGGCTAAAAATGGCAATCATACCGTAATCTGCCCGATGCTTAGGATTTAGGCTTAGGCTTAGGCTTAAATCCCATACCTGAATAGCTGGTGGCAGTGTGCTAGTGGTGGACATCATCCAGAACGGCAACACCGATTGGGTCGTCTCGGCTGACGTCTCCTCGGATTCCTGCATTTTTATTTTAGATTTTTGATTCTCATAGTTCAATTTATATTTTATTTATATTCTGTAAGTCATATTTCATAGCTAGTTTTACCTACCGTAACCTCCGTCGGAGGCAAAGTGCTGCCGTGGGGTTGCATCGGCCACAAGGGTTGTTGGGTCGCGGCCGGCTGAGTAGCCGTTTCCTCGGATTCTTCTGGAATTTATGAGGTTTTAAAATTTTTTGGTGTTTTCTAAGACGTGTCCAAGCTACGGTAGTTTTGTAGTAGAGTACCGTAGCTTTTTGGAAAACACAAAAAGTACATATTGTTAAATGTTTGCAATTTTAATGGAATTTCTGATCATTTTTCGGTGTTTTTCAAAATTTGCTAAAACGAGCCCTAGCTACCGTATCCTCGAATGAGTTTTTGATGGCTAGTAAGGCGATAAAATTTTCTAAAATTCTAAGAGTTATAGCCCGTTTTATAGCACCTTAGGAACTTTGCGGCTCTAACTAGAATTCCCTAAAATGTGTCCAAGCTACCTTACCCTCTCCCTCGGTGCTCATTCCAGTAGTCGGCTCGCCAGTTTGCGTGTTGAATTGCGAAGGGTCAGGCCCATTTTCAGCGGTCATCGTCTCGAAGCCAGCGCCAAGGTTCTGCAAAAAAACTTACATTTTTACGCTAAAAACCGTCAAAAAATGTTAAAAATAAAAATTCGCAAATTTCCGTAATCCGCCACGGTGCCAATTACCGTACCTCTTCCTCCTCAATTTCCGTGGTCCGCTCGCCCTCCTCTTCGACATCCACGGGGGCAGGGGTTGGGAATGGAGTGACGCCTCCATTCTGCCCACCCAACACTACAGGGGCTGAGGGGAATGGACGGAAACCCTGGGGTACGGTAGCTGGGGCAGATGATGCCTCGACACTCTCCTCTGTCTCCTCACCGCTGGGGATTACCGTGGAGGGGACCTGTAAGGGGTGGGATGAGACAGAGAGAGAGAGAGAGAGAGAGAGAGAGAGAGACAGCCAGATACAACTTTTTCACTAAATTAGAAGAAGTCATTTTGCTACCCACCATTGGCCGGACGGGCACCTGATTCGGTTGGACGTTCGGGTTGAATGGCAGGAAGTTCATCTAGAAACATTAACATAAAATCGTCCCCGAATCATTGAGCGGTGCCACAACGTCAATGTTCTACCGTACCATTTTAATTTTTAGGTTCTTTCTGTAGAACCTGGGACAGATATAATTGAACAAAAAAGAACACAACTTATTTTTAACAGCTTTTTAGCTACTAAAATCGAAATTTTTGAAATCTACTTTAAAAACCGGGAATCGCTAGTTGACATAAAGATTTCTATTTGCAAATTGTCACATTTATGCCTCTTCAATACCCAAAACTAAACCAGTCTTGGCATGCGGCTTGCGAAAATCGGGGCAAATCTGCATAGACCCCCAGGATAAGCCGAGAAAGCCGATAAAAGCACCTGGGATGCGGTGGAGGCAGCCGTAGAAGCGGATGTGGTGGATACGGTAGTCGAGGGCGTTGTCGATACACTAATGATCCGGGGTGGGGTTGCCGTGGCGGTGACGACATTATGGGCGTTCAGAGGAACGATCGGAACCCGGACGGTGGGTGTCGGGGTGGAAGCGGAAGTAGTTACGGTTGCTTCTTCCTGTAGAAAATGAAAAACTGAACCGGTCCGGCCGAATATTCATGCTTTTTAGGAGCGGGGTTTCACATGCCAAAAATGCGCTGTTTCACCGGGTTTTTATCAAATAAAATGATCTTAGGCGACAAACATGGAAAAATTTACATCTACTTGAATTCTCTTTTGCTTTTAAATTAAATAGGTATGGGTTTTTAACATTTTGCTAATCGCTTTGCATACCTTTGACCCGATCGAGCTGTCGATTCCGCTTGGTAGCGGCGTGGAAGACAAAACAAGCGCCAGGCAGTCCATCCATTCTGAAATCGAGCCTTTCACGTATTTTTCAAGGAATTTAAGTTTATTTTCTGTTCTAGATCTTTATTGCAATATTTAAAGTGTTTTATAATTTGAAATCGTCGACGAAAATTCATCTGTTCGGATCGGTTCGGAATCTGGCGATCCGGAAAATGCCGAAAAATTGCGACTTCAAGAAAAGTCCGGAGTTCTCCATCAAATATATATTTGGAAATCGGCAAAACCAGCTTTACAGCGGCCGGTAAGTATCGTAGCTCAAAAACTTACGTCCGGTCTGCGGGTGTGGGCAGTGACAATCGTAGGAGGCGTTGACCACCTTCTGCGAGACGGTAGTGTACGAGGCCGTATCAAGGGTGCACTTGGCATGCTCGCCAAACACTGCGCACGCAGCGTCACTAAATTTTAATTTACTTTCTACTCACGGCTTTAAATCCACTTCTTTTTTCCGTGAGGTCTTGACAAAAAAAAATAGAGAAATAGCCTACCCGATGCAGACATCGATGACGTTACAATTTGGCCCGATGAAGCCCGGGCTGCACTGGCAAAGCGGGGCTCCCTCAACAAGTGTGCATTCGCCCTGGGCGCATGTTGGCTCGCAGATTATCTGGAAAAAGTTGAATTTACTTGATAATTTCTAAAGGGATTCGCAAGGCCATAGAAGTGTAAGCACGTAAAATACGTACCTGTTCGCACAAGATGCCCGTGGTATGCGGTGGACATTGGCATACGGCCGTCGATCCGGTCGCCTGACATTTTCCACCATTTCCACAAGGGACCGAGGCGCAAATGTCCAATTGGCAGCGAGAGCCGGAGAAGCCGTTGTGGCACATGCAAGTCGCCTAAACTTTGGAGGGTAGAAGATCGTAACCGCAGTATACTATTGTAACCAGGATAATCTTATTCTTATGGATTTTAACAGTGTATTTATGAATGCTGTACCTGCCCATCGGCTCCAACAACACAAGTTCCATTGTTCATACACTCAATCCCAGCACAGGGTCCACTCGTGAATGGCTGCGCTGGTGGTTGTGGCGAGGGGGAAGGGTTCTGAAATTGAGGTGTTGCCAAAGAATCCAGAGGATCTCTCCTAGCTTGCCTTGACTGTTTTCCTAGCGAGTCCTGGATAATTCACCTAAAAAAAAAATCCCGAAAGGTTCTGCTATAATAGCTGGCTTCATAATAGGAAACCTCCTTAAAGCGCATGTTCAGGGAGGGGCCGTGTACTCGTCCCAACGTGTACACCCTATGGACGTAGGGACCGCGCGCACTGCCTGCCAGTGCTGTGGCAGGCCATTCCCCTCCTTTGCGGCGTGGGACGCCCCTCGCCCCCTTGCCAGGTTGTAGCTGTGGCTGACTGGTATCCATCCGCGCCTCCCGAGCGGGGGGCCCGGGTTCCGGCCGCGGCGAGAATCTTTGCTTTTTTCCAAAAAAAAACGTTCCTGAACGTGCCCTTTACGAATCTTTGCTAGATGGCCTATCATGCATAAATTCCTAAAGAATCTCTGTTAACTGACATCAATGTTTTCCCTAAGAATCTCTGCTAGATGACCTAATAGGCCGGAATTCCAGAAAACCCTCTGCTATCCACGTGAATTCCTAAAGAATGTATGATAGCTGACCTTGGTGAATTCCTCAAAGTATCACTGCTAGTTGACCTATGTGAACTCCTAGAGAATCTCTGCTTCCTTTCATAGGGAACTTCTAAAAATCTCTGCTAGCTAACCTAATGTCTTCCCTCAAGAAGCTCTGCTAACTTGCCAAAGGAAATCTCTAAAGAATCGGTGCTAGCCTGCACAGGACCAAGTCCCAAAAATTCCTTGCTAGCTAACCTAGGCGACCTTTGAAACGGGCAATGCTAGCTGACGCAAAGAATCTCTGCTCCGTGAAGTAACTGAACTCCTAAAAAATCTCTGCTAACTGACCTCATTAAATTTCCTAAAAAAATTATTGCTAGCTGACCTCATAATATGTGCATTCCGAAAGAATCTCTGCTATATTGACCATAGTAAAAAGCGCTGCCTAATGATTTCTGCTAGTTAGCCCTCTCCAAGTACGATTTTTTTCATTGACTCACCCCCGCCAGATCCAAAATCGGGAAGGCCGGGTCGCGTCCGTCGACTTCCGCTAAAAATGTTGGTTATTGGCGGTAATTCGGTGGGGTTAATGGCAAGCAAAATTATATACGGTACACGCACGCAAACTGTGAATTTTTAGTAACAAATCATCAGTGAATGAGGATTTCTAACACTATCTACTGCGATTTTTGGGTTACTCGATCGGTGTGCACTACACGCGGATGTTTATGAGGGTGTGGCTGGTGGCATGGTAGGTTTAGGGATTGCATTTTAAGGATCGGCACGTCACGCATTTTTCTACGTCAATGAGTTTTTATGGGTGTACCTGGTGGAGCCAGACGGAATAGAGGAAAAGCTGGGCCTTGAAAAACGAAAAAATCAAAACATGTAGAACCAAAAATGCGGAAATAAGGCAAGTTGAAGCTGGAAATGAGAATTTGACGCTGTTCTGTTAACCGGACTTAAACTCGTCCCCCCCCCCGCTAACAGAACAGCTAGTGAAAAACCAAAGCCTTGCCTAGCTTACCGGTAGAATCGGCAACATATGGGCATCCACAGGACATGCCGGCCGAGGTGAACGCGTTCTGCTTCAAATGTGGCGGGCATCCGATGGGGCGCTCGTTTTGCACGGTCATCTCCCGGATACACCGCGGGCCACGCACTGTAAAATAGTTTTAACGCCCAATTTTCTAAGATAAAGCTTTTTCAAATACCACCTTTGCACCTTTATCAACGCAAAAATGCGAAATTTCCCACCGGATTGAATGCGGACAGAGAATGTCCGGGGATGGGCGGAGAGCGGGAATCGAACTTTGGAAGAGTTGGTCTCGGAGACGTTACACGTCAACCCGTCCGACGCAAGTGTCCAGATGAGCTGTTCCCATTCGTCTTCTAAAATTTTCAATAGCACCAACCACTAGAACCAAAAAGGACCTTTATTGTCACCATGGAGGTACGGTAAAGCAAATGGTACTTACTGTCAGCATTCATAACGGAACACTCTCCAAGTGGGGCACCCGTTGAACTGTCCACCACCGTCATCAACACGGTAGCTGGCGATTTGTCATTGCTGAAATCAAGTTTATGTTGACCTTTTTGCTCCTTTCGACGAAATATGGTCCCGTCCCGGAAAATTTTGGCTTCCAAGCCCCTTTAAAATGTAATAGAATAGTCAATTTGCAAATTCTGGACCTCAAATCGGCTTTCAAAATTCAAAATAAATGGCTTTTATAGAAACCACTGGTCTTTGGCTTACCAATCTTTTAAAACCAGTTACATTAATTTTTTCACGCACTCTCTCACTTACTCTCTCTAACTCTCTCACCTCACTCTCTCACTGTCTCTTGCTCTCGTATCTTGCTCACTCACTCACTCTCTCTCTCTTTCTCTCTCTCTCTCTCTCTCTCTCTCTTTCACTGTTTCTCTCTTCCTACCTCTCTCTTTCTCTCTCATTCTCTCGCTCTATCACTCTCTCACTCTCTATCTCTGACTCTCTTTGCTTCTCTCACTCTCTCCCTCCCCTCTATCGCTTTCATGAAATTGGTAGCTTCCTAGCCCCTTTAAACCAAAACCAAATCAAATCACCATAAATTTGATTCCCCTGGATAGCTCTGGAGCTTCTCCCCCCTTCTTCAGCGTGCAAAGGTGTCTTGTGGAATGAATGATTCTGAGCCACCTATTCGTCTCTTTTCTCTGCGTCTCTCTCTTCTCCTCGCTCTCTCTGGTAGAAGACTGTTGACCCAGAGTCTCGAGACGCCCGAGGGGAGGGAGAACCCCACCCACTGACAGTTACGCAATCAGAAGTGCTGGGGGCCCTGGGGGGCTCTGGGCTAGAGATCCCGGGAAATAGAGTGAATTAGAGATAGAGAATTGTAAAAGAGAAACAAGAGGCACGCTTCAGCCCTCCCATCACTTTCACCACGATCCAACCAACACCTCTAAAGGGTGGGGAGTAAAGAAAGGGAAGCTATTTAGGCACTAATTGGGTGTTTTTGTAACGGGTAGGGGTTTCAGGTTACTTCCGGTCTTACTTAAGGTCCAAAAACCACGACTCGATTGCTTTGAAAGGTACTTTTAGCTATCGTGGCGTAGCGCAACGTTAGGTTACGTGAAATACTGCTTTTGAAGGGATCCGGAGGAGTCATTTGGGGTATTGCGTCGATTAGGTGCAGACTACTACGCAATACCCCAAATGACAAGTTGAAGTTGGTTTTTGGATCAAGAACGACGGAAAAATGGAAGAAAAACTCATAAGTTACGCGTTTTTATGCTCAGCGTATCTGTCCAGTCCTAAAACAAAAAATGGGTCGATTTCCGGGCTTCCCAGCCCCTTTAAAGTATCTAACTCTCGCATAAAATCTTAGAAAAAATAGCAACTGAAAAAGCTAAAACTGAACCGTCTATGTGAGAGGCAGCGAGAGAGAGAAAGAGAGAGAGAGAGAGAGAGAGAGAGAGAGAGAGCGAAAGAGGGAAAGAGGGCAATGACCCCGAAAATCGTCCCACCTCAAATATTCAAAAGATCCGATCCACGGCAGGCTGTCCTGATCGACAACCCATGCTGCTCGTCCGCCGGTGCCAGGCGAGAAATGATAAGCACTGTCGTCTTCTTGACCTTGCGCCAATACTGATGATAGGGCTAAAAAGCAAAAAGTCAACTTTGGATTTTCTGGCTGGCCAAGATTTTAAACTAGTTAAACCGACCTGCATTAAAGAGAAGAATCAGCGGAAGAAAAGGCAGCGCGGCGAGTTGCCGCATTTCTGGGGGTGGATTCTATTTGTTGCCCCCCTGTGTGGGATAGTTGTTCGAATCCTGGGTATCTCTACAGCCCAGCTGGCAACGCGGGAGTACGCGGCGTGCGGTGCGTGAATTGGAATCGAGCGCTCGTCCACAGGCCTCGCGCGGAATGGGGTGCGATCCTGGAAAAAAGCAAGCTAAACCGCCGTGAAGTTCGTTATTCTGAATTTAAGAAAAACGGGAAAAGGAAAAACGGAAAATGCATTAAAAAAGAGCAGATCGCAGTGTAACGTAACCTTGATCCTATAGGACCGGAATTAGAGAATTAATTTGGAATGGAAAAATTATTAATTTGGAATGGAAAAAAATTACGCATCAGTAGACACCTGATTTTTTTTTAGCTATCGGTGTACTTCGCGGCGATCGGAATGCTTCTTCAAGTAATTTTTGAAGCGTTTTGCCGAGATCCAGCGGGTAGGAAGGTATACTTTGCTGCTACGCGGAGGCTTCAAGAAAAGTTTAAAAAAGATGAGGATAGTCGACTTCTCTTGGAGATTAGGTGTGCATGCGACACCCCAAAATACGGGCGCAAGCGATAAAATTTTAAGAGTCGCAGACTGTCGAGACCTAGTCGGTGGCTAGGGGTCGATTTTGGCACTTCCTAGCTATTTTAAAAGTCGTCAATCCGGTAGATTGATTTCAAGCTTTGAAAGTAGACCCTAGGGAGCGGAGAGCTGCCAATAAATGACTAGAATGTAGTCTGGAAGCAGCTCGAGAAGGAAAGATGGTAGGACCGGATGCCCGACTCCCAGAATATGAGTGCGTTCATCGACAACCAGCTGACAATGCGACCTTCTCAAAAAAATGCGGGTTTCTTGCCATTTGCTTTCGGAAGAAATGTGGCTAAAACCGGAAATACTAGATGACAGCTGGGTTTAACACTTCCTAGTCTGATGAAATTGACAAACAATCGGGGGGTTGGAGCTTAAAGAGGATGGTTGCGGAAAGTTGGGCAAGCCTTCAAGCGATCGGAACAACGGGTTTCGTCAAGTTTCCGTAAGGGTTTTAGTCATCTGGATGCGATGGGAGATACGAAAGTGATTACGGTAAGCTTACTTGGAATCTTTAAAATCCGTAAATACGTTTTGCAACCGAGCAGAAATTATTGAGAAAGGCGGGCGTTTCCAATAGACTTTTCTTTAGGAAAAGGCCTGAGGTTAAAGACATCTGACATCTGACATGTGATCTGGGCAAGCTAGCGGAGATGCTTTGGGAAAAGAATGGGCAAGGCAGGCTAGCAAATAATCGTTGAGCGGGCCTGGGATCGAGGCAGCCTGGCAGAGATTCTTTGGGAGGTCCACGAGCATCAAGACAGGTGGTAGAAAGCACGAGTAATCGAGCCGAGATCGCTCAAGACAGGAGTCGACTTGACGGCCAGGTAGGCTCGCAGAGGTTCTTGGAGCAATCCTGGGGATGGGCAAGCTAGCAGGGATTCTTTAGGAAGGAGCTTGGAGACGAAGATAGTCAGCCAGAAAAGAAAAACGCTTTGGCAGACATGCCTGAAGACAAGAGGGCTATTTTCAAGGCAAACTGGCAGAGATTTTTGAGGAAAATCCACAGAACCCTGGTAAGCTAGCAAAGGTCCTTTAGGATCCCCACCACAACCCTAAAAACGCAGGAGTGGAGTCAATTTTTGGAGGGCCCGAAGGCCTTGCCGGACAAGAGGAAGTGCATGGTGGGGTGGATGGTGAGGATGGACGGGGTTCAAGTGGGAGCCGTGTACGCTGGAATCCACTGGACAGACGGACGGATGGCCGGACAGAGACGGACAGACAGACATGATCCGGATGCGGAAGGTCTAGGGGAAGGGGAGGGAGAGTGGGGGGATTGAGAGAGACAGAGTAGGGGCCACAGCTACGAGCCGATCCCCTCGAAACAGCACAAGAACAACGACTTGGGAAGGGCGCGCTGTGTTTTCGGCTCTTCTGAGATGGATTTTTGCCCGGGTCCAAGGTCCATAAAAATCAGAGAAACGGATTTTAAGTCGACTGCAGAAGCCCTAGTCGATCTAGCTCAAGTTTGAGGTAAGCGTCAGACGTCAGACGTCAGAAAATTCAGTTATCTTCTGGACACAATTTTTTTTTTGAAAGCCTTGTGTTGAAATCTTTAAGACTTTGAAATGGCCCTCAAATGCCTCCCGCTAGAGTGCAAGAGAGCGAGATAGAGACTTTGAGAGAGGAGAGTGAGGTGGACAGAGAGAGAGAGAGCGTGAGAGAGAAAGAAAGAGAGAGAACGAGTGAGCCAGAGAGCGAGCGATAGATAGAAAGAAAGGTAGACGTAGAGAAAGGTAAGGATATATAGGGCGGGATAGAGCGGGAGAGAGAGTAAGCGAGAGAGTGAAAGATCTAGCGGTTGCAACAGATGCCATAAAAAACCGCATTCTTGTCACGCGGCTTACGGGAGCTGAAGCTAACGGATGAGCTGAAGCTGAAGAGCTGAAAGCCAGGTGAGCGAGCGATAAAAAAGGCAAGTGTGCGCCAGAGAGTAAAATGTTCAAATGCTAAAAACCGTAAAATAGGGGAGTGATCGGCTTCTGGAATCATCAAAACTACTTGAAGCTGTTCTTGGACCCAGAAACGAGCTGAAAACGAGCTGAATGCTAATTCCGATTAATTGATTCATTTTAAGCAAGGAGAACGCTTCGGAAGACATCATCAAAAGATAGCAGTTCTTCAACACTCATCGAGACACAAAAACATCTAGTCCTCGATCAAACACACATTGCCAAGGGCCCAGAAATCGAACCAGAAATCGAACCGGGCCCCAAAGAAGACGAGGGAAACGGAAGCGGAAACCGCGAACGGTAGACCCTTAATCCGGCTCATGTGATTGATTCGGAGTGGGGAGGGGGGTTGATAGCAGAAAATGCCGATTCTAATCTGTTCGGGCGGACCGGGGGCCCTGGGTCCGTAGCCTTAGGGTATGTGGGTCCCCCACACACTCCCAAAGCGACACCTCGGTCACGGAGAACCATCAAATAGAGCAGAGAGAGAGAGAGAGAGAGAGAGAGGAGAGAGAGTGATCTCTTCCTCTCTCTATCGCTCTCCTTTTGTGGGCGGCGTGAGCCGACTGACACCTCCAGACGTGAACCGATCAGTAAATGAATGGGGGGTGAAAGGGGGGCTTTGCACACTGTTAGCGCGTTAGCGCGTGAAAACGCGAAATGAAGGGTGAGGTAAAGTTGGGGGAGCGGGTAAAAAGGGTACTATCCCGTACTCGCTACACTGGAAAAGGTGGAACGGTCGTGAAAAAAAGAACATTGGGCATAAGACAGCAGACATTTTTCAACTGGTCGGCTTGATTTGGGTTAGTTAATCCAGAAAATGTTTGAAAAACCATCAAAAATGGCATTGAAGAGACAGTAACAGCTAGTAAAAACCCGAATGAACCCGAACCACGAATGCTTTTTAAGCTTAAAGGGATGCCCAACCTTTTCGGGGCTCAAAAAGCAAAACCCAGGCCGCCGGCGGGGTCGAACCCGGCCCCCGTTTTTTTTGGGCCTGGATGCTATCCATTAGGCCATAATGGCAAGCCATTGCGTGGGATGGGGACGCCACAAGAGGGAAAGGTGTCCGAATTTTGTGCGGCAATGGCGCCCCATTGCCGCACAAAATTTGCGCGTCAGTTTTACTGTCCGGAATCCATAACTATATATTTGCCTCCAAAACCTTGGGTATCCCTTTAACGGCACGTGCGTGCCATCCGTAACCGTACATCGGAAATAATGACTTGTTTGCGCAATCGTCGTCTTGTCGGAATTTTAGCCGAGCATGAGAGCTAAATCTAGCTGCTTCGACGCTGAAAATTTCAAAAGATGAGTCAGTCACGTTTTCAATAAGAAGCCATAGCTCGAAAATCAAAAACTCGACTCTTCGGCGAAAATTAGCCGTTGTTCGCAATTAAACGGAGCATCACAGCAAAATTCAATTGGACTGAAGCAAAAACCCTCAAAGCGTTTCTTGGGTTTTAAAGGGATACCGACAGCTAAATTTTATGATTGTCGTCAAATATTTGTTAAAGTAATGTCTGATTTTTCCATTAGCACGCATCCTTTCGGCTTTATACGGCATTCGATTCGGGATTTCCTGTGGATCTGTTCGTGACCCCAGGACTCGTCTATCGGCCGTAAAATGGTGCGTGAGAAGAGGAATGGTACGGAGCGCAAATGGTTCGGGATTCTAGGTCAAATCAGGACTGAGTACGAGAGTGTACAGCTTACGCGACAAAAGTAACTATATTGTAGTAATTAAATAGTTTAATTAAATCGTAATTTATTGAGCAAAATCAAGAGTTTCTGGGATGATGTCTACGTGTCTCTGTGCTTATTGGGGTAGTAATTTGACCCGTCTATGGGTGTCAAGGCAGAAATATAAACAAGGGTCATCCACGGACAAACACGCCAAAATGAGCCAGCAGCATCAGCTGATCGCAGAAAATCATCGCATTAAAGCTATAAGTTGGTATTTTAAAGCTTCTTGAGCAAGAGAGGGCGAGAGTGAGAGAGACGCTGGCAGAGAGGGAGTGAAAGAGGGAATGCAAAAGAGAAATCTGGTGAAGGGCAGCTTTGCTTTAAAATGTTTCCAAATCCACTCCCCGCCGGCGCCCGAAACATAATATTTTTGGAAAATGCCATTTCGCAAAGGTTTTAACGGACTAGGAAAAAATGAAAAGAAGAACAAAAAGACAGAGAATCTCAAAAAAATGAGCTACGCACTTTCTGGTTGGTGAAAAATCCTAAAATCGGGCTCTTTTCCAGTAACTTTCACCGAGGCACATTCCTGGCATTCCGCGGCGATTAAGGCTGTAAAATCAGGGTTAGGTTCCAGGTACCACACCCTGGAAAACGTTTGAGATATATTTTTATGGCGCGCAAAAACCCCCGATTTCATATCCTTTTTAAAAGTTATTGAGAAAAAGTCAACAGTTGGGAGATTCAGGAAATCGATTAAGTTGACCGGAAA